GGAGGGCAATGGTAAAGCGAAGCAGCTCCTCCACATAGCGCTTCAGAGCAATCCCTCCTTTGTTGGGGCCGGGGACGGCTAGGACCATGCACGTGTCCACGTCGATGCCCACCAGGCTGCACGGGTGCTCGGGCAGCTCCTCCTCCTCAGGCCTGCCGTCGGGGTCGACCGTGGTGAAAAAGAAGTCGACCTGGACCACCGGGGTGCGATCCACCTCCTTCCGCGACCCATGCTTGTCGCCGCGGGCTCTCGTCTTGACGCACGCGCTGCACCACCTAGCATAGGGTATGTGCGTCAGCCGGTGCGCCTTGACCTCGGCTTCGCTCGGAACAGCGGGTGGCTCCGTCACTGGCCGCGGCGCTCTCTCAAAGACCTGCTTGGCCTTCTCCACCGCCTTCCCTGCAGCGAGCTCCTCCAGGTAGTCGCCCTCGTCGGTCTCCATGGCGTGTTCGGCCTCCTTGGGGTCGTCCGGCTTCGGCGTCTCGGGCTGCTTTGGCTGCTCCGGGGTCGCGGGCTCCCGGGCGGAAGAAAAGTGAGCGGCTCGTCCTCGCTCTCTGCTGCAAACCGGGTGCTCGCCTTGGGTGCCATGCCCCGGCCTTCGAAGAAACCCTCGCCGAAGCTCTCCATCCGGAAGAGGGTGATCCGCTCGCAGCCCCGGTTGGCGATGGGGCCAAACGGGCTAGCCTCATAGGCATAGTCGGAGCTGTTCTCGATCTGAATCCAGCTCCCATTGGCCTTCTTCACCAAAGTGGTCCGGGCAGAGAACACGTCGGCGTCATACCACATCCGCCCGTCCATGAGCTTGAAGGCGTCGGGCGCGTAGTGTCCTTTGATGCCGTGGGGGAGCTCGTGCATCCCCTCGCGGCCGACGATCTCCTTGAGGTAGTCCGGGAGTGGAATAACCGGTGGCGCCGCTGGCAAAGTCCTCGGGTGGTCGGTCAGAGCGCGCACGGCTGCAGGCGACGGGGTCGACAAAGTCACCGCTCGAATGTGGCCTCGCAGTGCCAGGCTGTTGTGGCGAAAGGCCACCTTTGCTGCCCGACCAAAGGGCTCCTGCAGCTTGAGCTCGCCGTCGTTGATAATCTGCCACCCTCGCCGCAGCAGCTTCCCCACAGCCAGCAAGGGAACCTGAACGTTCCCTACCACACACTGTTCACGCACAGCAAAGCGCTTGCCGTCGGCGGCCTCGAACCAAACGTCAAACTTGCGATGGGTGCCGCCGT